CCCCAAAACCCCAAAACCCCAAAACCCCAAAACCCCGATATTTGTAGATAAGATTGATCACTTTAGAGATCCTATTTAAATCTGTGATTAATTTTATGGATTCATATATCGGTCAGAAGGCTCAATCTGAGCTTCAGTTATGGTATTTGGAACCTCTAAATCAATTTTCACCTGAGCTTTAATGTCTCATTGAGGGACATACTTTCTGTTCCTGTGACCAGTGTAGACCTGTTGGGGCCTGGTGATCTTCCTATTTGGGTCATCTAGGAATTCAGACCAATGTGCCAACCAACTGACAAGTCTCGGCATTGCAAACAAAACTGGACAGAATTCAGGTGGGAATCCCATTGCTTTATAAACGACTCCTGAAAACAAGTCAATGTTAGGGAAGAGTCGTCTCTTTATAAAGTAAGGATCTTTAAGAGCAATCTGTTCAATCTCAAGGGCCACATCAAATAATTCCTCTCTGCCACATACCTCAAAGACTTTTAAAGCAATGGTTTTAACTATTTTAGGCCTGATTTCATAACATTTGTACATTCTATGGCCAAATCCCATCAACTTCTCTTCCTTGTTCTTAACTTTCTCAATAAAGGCAGGAACATTGGCCTTGCTGCCAATCTTCATAAGCATTCTGAGGACAGCTTCGTTAGCTCCACCGTGAAGTGTTCCATAGAGAGCAGCTGCTCCACCTGCAATGCAGTTGTAAACATCAGTGTTTGCAGAAGCCAAGTGTCTTACTGCTGCAGCTGAGCAGCTAAAACCATGCTCTGCATGCAGAATGAACATGACATCTAATGCTTTTACAAGGACTGGATGGGGCTGATAGTCAGTCCCTTTTTCATGATGAAGCATGTAGAAGAAGTTTTCGATATATCCTCCATCCCTTGGATTGTTGAACTCCTTCTGGTTTTTGTGTCTGTATGCTGCAGCTGAGATCGTTGGAGAGATGCCAAGGATATTAGAGATATGTTTATCCCTTTTGTAAGGATCATCATAGCATGATTGCCCAGCTAATGCTGGATTTGCCTCAGGATGGAAAGTAGATAACCCAGACATTGCTGATATAAACATTCCCATTGGATGAGCATCATTTTTAAAACAACTCATGATGTTTCTCAGCTCAATAGGAAGAGATGAATGATTCATAATCTTCTTACTGAATTCCTCAAGTTGCTGGATAGTAGGAAGATCTTCATAAATCAGCAAATAAGCAACTTCTATGAATGTTGATTTCTCTGCTAGTTCTTTGATTGAGTAACCTCTGTACTCCAGTATCCCTTGCTCTCCATCAACAAAAGATACGCGAGTGTGCTAAACCAGAAGGTTAATGATTACCCAAAGCTTGTAATGAAATTTGCTTACCCCACTCACTGTATTTAAGTATCCAGGATCGATATATTTAGTAATATTTCCTTTTGAGTCTTTTACTGTACTTAAGTTTTTAGCTGATATCATGTTTTCTCTAATTGGAAGCTCATATTTTACACCTAGACAAGTATGAATCCAAATTATGACCGAAACACTACCTGTACGGTTATCAAGCACTGTTAGAGTGTCTTTCACCTCTTCCTTCACTTTAACAGCTTGTATATGCCTTTTCAAAATCTGAATCCTCTTCATTTTTAACAAATAAATTCCCTAAAATGTTTTATTTTAAACCTCCCTACCCAAATTGGGGTTTTGGGGTTTTGGGGTTTTGGGGTTTTGGGG